AGCCTTCAAACTAACATAAGACCGAGTAGACGGTAAATAGTGGCTTTTAAAAAGCAAAAACACGCCAACTTACACGAATTCTGAAACGGCTTTTATTAAAGGTCAGGGGATTTAGTTAATTGCTACAAGCGAGTAACAACTATGTGCAAATAAAAGTCGACTACAGTTGAAACCAGTCTCCTTTGGCTCGACGCTCTGGATTTGTTCCAAAAAGGACACTTCGAGCATTTCATTAGGAAAATAAGTGCAAAGCTCTTTGAATCAATGTTACTACATCGGTTTGTACGTTTTCGGTAATTATGACGTACATAATATGTAAGCACAATTTACATTTGCGTTTAAAACAAAACAATGAATATTAAATTGTTAGTATTAATTAAGTATTTAATTAAAATCCGAGTGAATTGATTTTAGGTATTTCATAACAACGTTTGGCTCCCAGTTTCACCCGATTTTGTTCATTTACTCGTTTGTAAATAAAGATATGTTCAATATCAAATTATCATCAAGGAAGTAAAGAAAAATCAGAAAAATATACCAAAATTATTGTTTCGGGGATGAACGAATTTCTCATACATAAGTTGATGGTTATTTGTGGTTCCACTTACGTTAGTTGCTTTAGTTTCATTACTAACAATAACATCTCGAAAATAAATACATTTTTCCTTTCGAAATCGAATCGATGCTAAGGTTAATTTTTATTGATTTGTCTCTACAAATAACTATAGTTAACTCCAATATTTTAGTAATTAATTAATAAGCGTTTAAAATTTATATATAAAACTGGCAAAACCCGCGGCTTCGCCCGCGTTCAATCTTCAAAAAAAAACTACAAAAAAGGTAGGTTTCATACCAATTTTCATCCCCTACTTTACCACCATATAGGATGAATTTAAAAAAATGCTAAAACATGTATTTATTTAATTGTATTGAAGAGCATCAATACCAAGGCTCAAGTAATTCTGATCATAAATATTTTTTTGGTATTTATTATAACGTGTTTTCCCGTGGGAATGAGATAATCTTCCGTAATAAAATAGCCTATGTCACTCTCCAGCCTTCCACCTATCTGCACACAAAAAATCACGTCAATCCATCACTCCCTTTTGACGTGAAAGAAGGACAAACAAACACACTTTGACATTTCGATACTTTAATTAGCAAACCGGCTAACTCCATATGAGCAAATGTTTCAGGAGACACTTAATACTTATAATATTTTTTACACTACTCATTAAAAAATCTAAAATACCGTTGGTAGATAATATCTTAAGCTTATTTTTGATACTGTAAGATACTACTAAAATAATCCTATTGAATTACTGTTGCATACAATCTGAACCAAAAAATATTTTTTGACGAAATGTGGAGTTGGCTGGTTTGCCAATAAAGGTATCGATTTATAATATTAGTATTGAAGTATGCATATGAATACAAAAAATTTAAATGCTTAATATAATTTAAATGTCATTTAATCAATTTTTTCTAATACTTTCACGTTCATTCAAGAAATACACCCATTTTGTTTACATCTTACATAGTAAATAACATGCATAGGTATAGGATCCTAGCAATTTTTCTTTTGCCATACATAATTAATTTTACAATTAGTATAACGAAACATACAAATGATAAACTTTTAAAAAACTGATCAAAAGATGGCACATCAGTGATATACTCCAAACTTTAATTTTAGATACTTGCGCACGTGTAATACGTACATATAACACCACACTTTGTAGCAAATGCATTGCAGTCGTTTCTTTTGGTGGAAACATTCATAAATCACAAGGCCTGCTCACATTTGCGTGTGTTTTTAATTAGAAGAAAAAACAACGATTGTTTCATATTATTATTTTTACGCTTTTGCATTTTGTCTGCGTTTTATGGGAACAAATCGTCCGTTGCGTCGTGCTCTGTGCGGATGAATGATCGATGGCCAACGCTTCAAATTCAAATCAAAAACATATGGGATGAGTTATTTTTGCGGCAGGCTCTATTTAATAGTGCTTTAAACAATAAAAGCTATAAAGGGAATGATGTGCAATATGTTTTATTTAAAATTACAAATCCAAATTCAATTATTTTGTGGGCTTGTATGCGCATAGGTTAATTAAATGATGTTTTACGACTTTGCCATGATTGTATTTGGAACGATGTGCCATTAGAGTCGTTATCTACAGTGCCCACAGGACGATACTAAATAATTATTTTTCTCATCAGCCTTCTCACAAAAGTTTTCAATATCTTAACATTCAACTTACTAATAGTAATCTACATAAACAAAAAGATATTTTTTACTATAGATATGTTTATATGTTTAGTGTATACACTCAAAATAAGGAAACGGAGGCCCTGCCAGTATTCAACGTGGTTTATTATTATTCACAAAACCAAACCTCACTTCACTTTATTAACTTTTGAGATTGATGGCAAATTGTACGCAAAATTTGAACCGTTCTGAGGAACATGCCAATAAAGAACCCCTGTATTCATTCAGGAAAAAATATTTTCGTTAATATTTGGTCAGTAAATTAAGAATTTCATTAAGTTAAAGCTAAGACTTTATTTTTTATTGTGAAAGTTCGAAATTGGACGTTGTTTCTTTAGGCTATATTTAGACTACAAGTGCTAAGAGCTGTACTCGAACTTTAGTTTCATGTTCTAACAGTTAAAGGACACTGTTTTAACCAAACAATTGTCTTTGTTTCTCTTGCTTACATTAAAAAGAGTAAGTTATGCTGGTTTAATTCAGTCGGACAGCGTACAATCTACGTATACACAAGATTTGAAAGTATCTTCATACTAATATTTTATTATAAATATATTTATAACAATATATCGTTGTGTCTGTCTGTAAAGACAAATGTATGAAAATACTGTATGGGTTTTGAATTTTGATACAGTTTACACTCATACATACTCGTAGTTTGACTGTGAGAGTGAGTCTAATACGCACATTTTCTTTTAATGCTTTTATATTTAAAAGGCGAAAAGTAACATATAGGTACTTATTTACATGTAAAATGTATCTAATTTCTATATAATATAATAAGACTGTAAACATTTAGGCTTTATTTCGAGCTTTATTTACATTTCTAAGTCATACGAGTTGCGATTTTATGTTAGCATTATACTATTTGACTTTTAAGAATAGAATCGTTTTATTTATATTATTATAAAACAAAACCTAAAACCTCTTTAAACCTATTTTCATCGGCCGTACGTGGAATTTATTCTAGTGACAACTAGTATTTTAATACATTTCTATGTGAGCCTGTAGCACGATAGATAACATGTCTGACTGCGTATATGAAGATTCTAGGCCCGAACCCTGTCACGATTTCGCTTAAAAGTCTCCGTTATGTCTCGTAGGCTGATTTACGACCCTTTCATTTTAATAACGTCCTCTCAGAATTATTTATGCGATATCTACATTATACTACATATTATACAATATAGCTATATCGAAGTATGAAATATTTATTGAAAACGAATTTTTCATAACTGGTAACATCAATTGTTTTTAGTTTTTATAATCGATTTTTGTCTGCTTAGATACCTACTTATTCGCACATCTTTACATAGTATGAAATGAAGTCGCTTCCGCTCTCTGTTCGCTTAGATCTTTTAAACTACTCAACGGATTTTAATGCAGTTTTCAGCAATAGATAGAGTGATCCAAGAGGAAGGTTTATATTTATAATACATGCATATTATAGTACAGAAAAACCGAGAAATTCAAAGATTTGTATTTCATACTAACCGTTAAAACGTACTTAGGGACGAACCCCAGCGAAGCGAGGGGGAGTCGCTAGTTATTCATAAATGGTTAAACGAATTCCGATTAAAACATTTTTACGTAAGTTTAACAGTAACAGCAAATTTAGATTCTTTTAAGCTGAGCAACATATTTTTATAATTTGAAACCGAAAAAATACAGATGGTCGCTTATTTGATGAAAAAATCCTGTACAATTAATTCACTTAAATACCGTTTTGTGTTTAGAATTTGTATCTAAGCGCTGTTTTAGAAATAGTTGTAATCTAATCTCGAGCCGAAACTGTAAATTTCCTAACACTAACAACTATTCGCATTAATTTGTCAAGGAAGTTCTATGCGCAAGCACGTGCAGCACGTGCTTTATATGGCTATATTCGTAATTGGTACATACTAAATAAAATATTTTTAAAACAATAGATTTTTAACTTAAAATAAAGAAAAATATAGTTAACGATATTATCTAACGATATAGGTAATAATGTTTTTAATAAAACGTTTTTTCTTATTTTTATTTTTTTTATTTTATATTATCTTTTCGTATTTTGTTGCGGTTTGATTTTTATTTCTTTGTTCCCGATTGAATCCTTTACAGCAAACATATTCACAAGAACCGATGGTATGATTCTTTTAATTTCAAAATTTTATTTTATGTTGCTATAATACTTAAGCATAATATAAGTAAAATATTCATTAAATATTTTGAGACGTAAAAAACTCATCTCTCCCGAGACCATAGTTGTTGTAAAGCATTCGAAACGTTGGGAACGAAAATGAAAACAAAATATGAAAAGATAGTTTTGTTTAAAGCTAGCTTTTGCTCGCGACTTCGCTTAAACTTACGTCAAGTTTAATTTTAAGACTATTTAAGTCGTTTCACCCCCGAAGTCGTTGTTTTTAAAAAAAAACCGAAACACGTGTTTATTTATATGTTGACACGAGTAATCCTGCGAATTTTCGTATTGATACATGTCTCATAGATAATTTCTCCACAAAAATTTTGAATCCCCGTTTCACAAGTCCGTTCTTGGCGGATACCTACCTTATAATAAATATATTCTGTGTGCGAAATTTCAATGCAATTTGTTCAACGATTTTAGCTATGCGTTGATAGATTAGACAGTCAGTCATCGTTTCTTTTAATATAAATATGTAGATGTCAAATATTCGCGTAGATTTAAGAAATATATAATAATATTATTAGTAAAATTTCAACATACTTGGCACAGTCTTGTTTTTCTTGCAACTGACGTATAGTGTCTCTCAAATTCCTAACTTCTTCTTTCAATCCTATATCTGCTTCATCTGACGCAAGTTCGATTCCCGGCCGGTAACCTCGTGTTTCTAGACGGGTTTCAGCCACTTTTAGAGCATTCACTTTATCTGCAAATTGTTCACCGATGGTTTGTAGTTCGTTGGCTAATTTCTCCATGTTTTCTTCCATCTGTTAAATATATTTAACCCATAGTGTTTTATTAGATACAACTTGAATATTATATAACATTAATTGTAATTAGAATAAAATGTAAGATGTAACTTTAAAAAAATATTTGTTTATTATTAAAATTATTACTAAACTAGCATTGCCCGCGGCTCCGCCCGCGTTCAGATGACCAAAAGATTTCATCAAGATCCCTCCAGTGGTTTTTCTGTGATGCGGTAACAGACAGACAGACAAAAATTCTAAAAACTATAGATTCGACCTCTGTATCGATAGTAATGTTTACTTCAATAAGATTTTCCAAAAAATATTTTTAATTATTATAAAAATATTTTCTGTATTTTAATACAGATTTGGCTTAGTTACAATTTTATTATATGTATAGATTAAGAAACAGTTTCGCATCTTTAAAATGTTCATTTTCGTAGACTAAAACTATCTCGAAGTGTATTCAGCCCTTTTTAACGTCCCACTGCTGGGCACCGGCCTGCCTTGTGTGAAGTGAAACCCGGGATTTGAACCCGCTTTACTCGGCTTCCCAAGCAAGCGCGTTACCACTGAGTTACCACTGCTTTCGAATCTCGATCCTATCTTGAAGATAGGTTAGTTTCTTTGATATATTAAAAACCTATGCTAAATAAAATCCAATCAGTTATGATATGCCAAAATTACCTTCATTTTTTGCCATTGCAATTCATTTCTTGCTCTTTGTGTATCGTATATGCGTCTTCTCATCATATAGTTAGTGACATCAGTTTGTGCGCGCAAAGCGTTTCTAGCACGACCTCTAGCGACAAAGAGAGATTCTCTTAGACGTAAAGTATCTTGAAGTTCATCCATCGCCATCTGTTTCGTTGCTTCACATTTATCCAGCCATTGTTCATAGGTTATCATCCTGTAACGATATACATATTTTTTTTATCTGAGTACAAAATCTCATCCAAATTCATCAAGCCGTTTTAGCATAAATGCGTAACAAACATACACTCATACATAAACACATTGAAATTTTTGCATTTATTATAGTAGTTTGAATTTGAATTGAATATAAAGTATTTCAAAAAAAAAATAAGAAATTCACGACCCTGCCAGGATTCGAACCTGGAATCTTCTGATCCGTAGTCAGACGCGTTATCCGTTGCGCCACAGGGCCACGTGGCAAAAATTTGAAACAAACATATGTAATGACGTAACCCAATCAACTAGAAGCAAATGTTTTTCTATGGAAACTTTTACAGATAATGCAAAACTAGTAAGGCCATTTCACTTATGAGTCTTTGAATATTTTGGTTTATGATTTAAAATTGATGAAAATGATAAAAACGTCGTCTTAAAAACTACTATTTATCGCTGTAAAACTATGTAAGTTTATTGTAGAATATATACTTACATTGTTTACACTAATATATAATGTTATATATATTTATGTATGTTTGTTAAATTGTTATTTATGTATAACTGTATGTAATTTATAATATATACCGTTCAAGTAAGTTTGTTATAGACTATTTTTTTAACCAACCAATATCCATGCTATCCTACGAGTTTCTTTATAAAATAGGTTGCCTGGAAGAGATCACTTTATGTTAGTGATAAGGCCGCCTTTACACTAAAATATACCTATATTTATAAATTTATATATTCTTTCAAATTGTATTTTTTGTTTTGGTGTAATAAAGGATTAATAAATAAATAAATAAAATAATGGTAAGATCTTAAGTAACATCGTTCATCGTTTTACAGGCTCAAATTACGAACGAAGTCGCAAATAATCTCTAGTTATTCTTTAATAATTATATGTACATTTACAATTAGAGGCTTATGAAACACAAATATTTTTTTTTTTATTAAAATTTGAACTAAGATAAAATCGTCTGATCTCTTTTAAACATTGTAAAATTTGCCACACAGAAGAATGTTTCAAATCATGAAACATGACGCCTGTAACACATACATATCTACTACATAACTCACACGCCCCTCAGAAAAAAAAACTTTAATTATATGTAGGTACATTTTTAATTCATACACGTAAATCTAAAAATTTCCGGCATATAAAGAAATCTAGATTGATCTCTGCAAATTCATCTACCTTTAAATAAAAATCTGGATCCTCATCAAAATTGATTGAGCCATTTTAGAGATTAACCCGGACAAACTATTTATTATTCCTAAGCCACAGACAGACATTTCAATTTTTATATAGAGAGTAAACATAAAAAACATATAAAACAAATATATTTTACCTATTAGGAGTCTTGAGAGAGTCAGTTTTGTATGTTATATTAGCGCAATCCTTATCTAAGTTTAACATGTCCTTGTCTATTTGCAGTGCTTCGTTCTTATCATTCAAGTCGAGTTGCAGCTTAAACTTCACTACTTCTAATTTGTTGATCTTTTCCCACGCGGATTGGCATCGATCAATTAACATCTTCTTATTGCTTTCCGTTACACAGAGCTCCTGGAATTACTGGTTCTCTTGAGTTTATTGTTGAAGTGAAACTTCTTTAGAATCGTTGTGATTTGAAACTCGATGCAACGGAAATGCGACAGTAAAAAGAGACAAACATATAAATATAAAGGATTAAGCCGGCGATAGAATGAGATGGAATACATTGCGATGATGCCATGGTAACCGTTGTCATGGTAACCGTTGTTATTAAAAATACTGTTTAGTTTATATAATTGTCTAGATTATTTCATGCTAGCAACCTTAACTGCCTTCGCTCGGATGCATGCACTGGATGCCAAACAGTAACCTATTGTCACTTCAGGTCTATTTATATACTAATTAGCTGAACCCGCCGCGCTTCGCTCGCGGTAAAACTACAAAAAAAAACTCCAAGAAGGTAGGTTTTATATAGACTTTCATCCCCTATTTTACCCTTTTATGGGATGGATTTCGAAAATGCTAAAATACATATTTATTTAATTGTATTGAAGAGCATTAATAATTAATTCCAAGTTTGAAGTAATTCTGATCGTAAATATTTTTTTGGGTTGTATTGTAATGTGTTTTCCCGTAGGAATGAGATAATCACCAGCGGTAAAAAGTAGTAGGTATGTCACGCTCCACCCCTCTAACTACACAACATAAAAATCACGCCAATCCGTTACTCTGTTTCGACGTGAAATAAGGAAAACAAACAAACACTCTCACATTTATAGTATTAGTATGAATTTCAGGGTATATATAGTCTATTTATATACTAAAATATCATACAAATCCGTCTGCAATTAACAAATAAACACACATATACAAACTTTCGCTTATGAGTATTGAGTAGAAATCTGAATATGTTTTTAGTCCGACGAACAAAAGGTATAACCAGGTTTAGATAAAATTAGCGTAATCGCCTCGAACCGCTGTCAGTGTTTTTGACGCTTGCTGAACTAAAAGATATACACATACGTGTATGTATTTGAAATCTTGCTAAGTAAAAGAAAATGGCGTTATATTCCTTAGATTATTACAAAGAGGTGAGCATGAAAAGAAAATTGTCAACGAATATCACGAAAAATAAAATTCTATAGTAATGATAAACATAAACACAGTGTGTATATAACAGAATTTAAAAAAAAATTGTGAGCATAGATTTTTACTGTTTGAATATAAAATATACTGTTATAACGTGAAATAACGTAACTTTCCAAAAAATATATACTGAAAATCCTAACATAATCTTTATTCCGTTAATAAGTAATAAAATATGGTAAAGATCAAAATAGATTTTATCGCAACGCAAAAAAATTGCTTCGGGTTTCGTAGTAAAAATATTCCAATTATTTCTAAATATTCCATCTTTATATTATAAATTATAAAACTGATATGATCCAATATAAAACCTTTTTCAACTTTTTACATTTAATAGCAAAATTCCAACTTTATAATAAAAAAAAATGATTACACGATAATCCTATACACGCATACATACTTGTATCTCTTTAGCAAACGGGAGTGTAGTATAATATATCTATATACGCACATAAGAAAACCTGCTTCGATTCGAAAAACAACGCTTGCTACAAGACGCTTGTAATAATTTAAATAGCAATCAAATTATGAAATTTGGTTCACAAAATTGGCCCAAAAAATACATTTACGATTAAAAAGTCTCATGTTTAAGCTTTTTCACTAACCTTTTTTAATTCAGTATCAGCCAAGTCATAAGTCAGCTCCGAACTTCTTCTGCCATCTCTATTCGACAAACACTCAGAGCAAACTAATAGAGGTAAATTGAGTTGTTCCAATTCTCTTTCAGTGGATGCTTTCTCTTCCTTGAGAGCGCTCATCTCTCTGTCCAAGCGATCTAATAGCTCCTGGAGAGTGGACTTCCATTGCTCTATTTCGTATACTCTGTTGCAATATAATTATTTTTTGCATTCTTTAATTAAATCTATACATATGTACATATCATTAACGTTATTTTTTGTTACGCGCCGAGTGATAATAGAAATTTTACCTTTATGTAGCTTCAGAATATTTTATACTAGATTGGACTACTAAAATATTTACTAGTTAACACCGGGCTTTATTTTCCTAAATTTTCAATTTCCATGTATTACAGTTTACTAACGACTCTCTACTTGACTCGGGTATTTCACACGGGTTCATGTTATACAGACAGACAATAAACTAATAAAATGATATTTTCATAGAAACTTTTTTCAATCCATTTCCTAGGAAGTACATTTAAAAACCAATGCCTATTTATTTTAGTATTTTATTAATTTGTACACTTTTTACCGAAATTGCTTCAGCCATTTTGCCATAACAACCATGTAGTCCAACTGACAGAGCTACTTTATTTACTATTATGAATCAACGCATTTATAATTTCCATATGGATTACCACAATACACCATTACACAATTATAATTTATTATGTTAAACCTAAACAACTGTTTAATTACACCTATCAACATTATAACTCAACTAAGCCAACATACCGTCTAATTGTTTGTATGTTTATTGATATGACATCGTTTACCTTGCTCTCAGACGATTATTGTTATGATAACTGTCCCATTGGGTTTTGATCCTGGTCTCATTGCGGAGCTGATGAGCCCCGTGTCTTAGGTCGAAAGCATCTGCTCTTCTAGTGTCTGCTGTTACCTGTCAAAGGAAGAAAGTTGGATAAAAAATAAGTTTTCCTTTTAAAAAAACATTTTCAAGGCAAAATGTGTTAAAAATATTTAAAACATGCTATTTTTAACTATTAGTAATCTGTGCTAAACTGGCAGGTTTGCTATAACAAAGAAATATAGGTACATATTGATTATCTTTTTACAGCTTCACACTTCCAGCAAAATAAATAAAGAGAAAAAAGTAACAATTCATTAAATTTTATTCTTTCTATGTTTAGAGTGAATAGTTTATAACATCGTCTTTTAAGCAAATATCATTAAAAAAAATAGAAATATATAAATATGAATGGTACTGATTCTTTTAATCTCCGTATCTGAAAACCCGTAAGGCCGTAGCAAAACTTTTAAAATTTATAGCAGAATTACCAACTTTTGAATTATTAAACTTAATTACATAACCTCGAATGTAGACACTTTCTTTATACAGATAATGCTTAAATCCCGACCCATTGTATTCATTCAACATTTATTTTGATAAAAAAATTATGATATCATTTGACGAAGTTCATAAATAATCATTAATCACCTTTTTTTTTATAAATATCAAAAAAAATCGAAGGACAGTAGTGCGATCTTGTTGTGATAGAAACAGCGAAAATATCTGTCGTAGGATGATTTGATAATTCGAATTTTCGCGAAAACCCTGGGGATATTGTGAAAACACGGCTAATTAGACAATGGTGAAAAAAATTCTCCATCTTATTGGAAAAAGATGGGGGTTTTTGCAAAAACTCGAATCGCTCTAGTTGTAATCCTTTATGGCATTGGCATGGCGTTGTGATCACTGTACCAACCTAACCTAAATAACCTAGGAAGAAAAAAAAAGTTCTTCCGAGTTAGACCTAGCTCCCACCTTTAAGGTGAATAGCCTTCTCAACCTACGCTATTTATATATAGGCTTCTAATAGAGATATCCACGGCCGCGGAAACGGGGGTGTTCTTTAATGAATTTCTTAGAAATTTACCTGGAGGTATTAAGGTTTTCGCGAAAATTCGAATTATCAAATCATCCTACGACATATATGTATGTATAAAGTCAGTATTGAAGTCAGCTCTACTATGTAATCCTTTTAGACCGGCAAAATGTGCTTAGGCTTTGAGTTTACTCAGTATTCTGTACGATTATAGCCATAGTTGGAAAATATATTCTATAAGCGAACATATCTTTGTTTATTCATTTACCTGCAAATCGTATAATCGTGCATCCCAATCTGGTAGACTTAGATGCGGTAATGGCTTCTCGAACGTTACTACTGATTGCATCTTCAAAGTTTTTGATTAAACACACTGATATAACAAACCACTTTTTAATATAATATCATTGGTTAAATAATAATATTTCCAAAATATTTTTAATAACTAAAATATGTCAAAAGCGTGTGATGCCGTGTCATGTCAGGCTAACCATTCTTAATTTGAATTTTGCCGCTTATAATTTTTTTATGTCAGAATAGAAAGTGTATTTGTAAATAAGTTTCTATTATGTAAAAAAAAATAACAATAAATAAATAAAAAAGTTTTTAGTTAAATACTTCAATATTTTGATAAAAATAATTTAACGTATACAATATACATGCATTTAAAAGTAATGATATTTTTTTATCTCTATTTTTTATTTGTGGAGGTTTTTATTACAATTACTTTTAATAGTGAATGGACTAAGGACAAAACAAATAATAACAAGGAAGACCGTAACATAATGAAAGAATAATACCTATTTCTTCTCATACTTATATAGGCGCTGAGAATCGTTTGGCATTTCACTCGTAAGTTTCTCAGCAACCTCGAGCGACGTTTATAATATTTCAGAAAATTATTTATTAGTATAATTTTTATCTGTAGTAATTGTATAGACTTTATTGAAATTTATATTTCAATGGTTGGTATAGATTTCTCAGTGATAAGATATTGTCTCTGCAGTAAAAAGAAAAGTATCCTATCATACCAAATTTCATCAAAATCCGTCCAGTGGCTTTCTCGTGTTGTGTTCCCAGGCAGACAGACAGACAGACAGACAGACAGACAAAAAATCTAAAAACTGTAGATTTTTTATCGATTATAATGACTATTTCAATAAGATTTTCCAAAAAATATTTAATGTACAGATTTGGCTCAGCTAGAATTTTACTATAAGTATAGATTATACATTTTATAAATTAGTAATATAGCTTATAGAGTATAGATGTATTAGGACACAATAATAGTTTTTAATATTTCTGGTAATCTGCTTAATCGATTGAAATAAAACTTGCTAAAATAAAAAACCTTAGATTCAGTTCAAAATTGGCAGAGATATTGGACAACATAAATATATGTACTACAATAACCGGGCAAGTTTGACTAACTGCAAACGTGACTCGCACACTGAGGTTTCGTAGCATTAAAACGTTGATTTAACTTTCGTAATTTTAACAAATTGCATTAATTAAAAGTAAAATAAAATATATTATAAATATGGTAAATATTTATTTTATCAAAAGCCAAAATAAGTTTATGTTTCTATGAAAAACAAAGTTATTTCTACGGCCGATTGCTATGTAAAAAAAATATAGCTAATTATATTAAATATTTATGTTAATTAAATATTTCAACAACTACTCAACGTATCTTCTTCAAAATAAAATAATTTTTGTAAAAAGTATTTCAGAAAGATACAAGGATATGACGAAATTATAAGGGTTCTGTGTTTATCGACGAGCATCTCCTTTTTTAAGGTGGTTAAAGTTTGTTATTTGAATTTAAAAAAAAAATACTTTCCCTGATAAAAATAGGTACCTAAAGGTATTCTAAATCAGTTAAGTGATTTCTGATTAAAATAAAAGTACAACGTTGAATAATCTCCGCGCCGATTAGAACAGTCTTTCCATACTATAAAATGTAAGTAAAACCTAACTAAAGCATTATTCATCCGAGTAGGTACTAAAGAAAATCTACGCTCACTGACTCCACTTAACTTAACTACTGCTTTCCTTAGTTTCCGACCCTTTCCGGTTTTATTGTCCGCTCGGTGAGAGTTAGTTAGGTTACCTTGGTATTGTAACTAATTAATGTCATAAAAAATTTTAAAAATAAGAAATAACTGTACTTATCTTTATAATTTATATTATTATTATTATATTAACTTAAATATAACTGGATTAAATTAAAAATTAAAGGACAACCCGATATGTAATTCGCCATTTTGTGGTGGCGGCTATCTTGGATTTGAAATTTAACATAGTCTTAAGTAATGTACTAGTCAAGTCCTTTCATTTGATACCTATATTGAGGGAGTTGTGAAAGAATATGTAATCCGCCATTTTGTGGCGGTGGCCATCTTGGACCGATTTTCATCAAACATATCTAAGAACACTCCCGACCAATTTACCTTACCAACAAAAAAAAACAAATTCAAAATCGGTTCATCCGTTCAAGAGCTACGATGCCACACACAGGCACACACAAACACGTCAAACTTATAACACTTCTTCGTTTGTGCGTCGAGGGTTAAAAACAGATTTAATTGTGTATTGTTTAATTCTTGTAACGCTAAATATACAATAATAACAATACAGCCCTTTAAACCTCCCCCTTCTAGGAACAACATACCTAATTGTTATTTGTTAATACGGCGAAAACACAGTAAAGATACCTGCACTTGTAAAAACTTAACTAGTTCTTGAAATGTATATGAATTCCGTCTACCCGCACTTGAACAACGTGGTGGAAAATACCCTTCCTATCCAGGTGAGTTCATAAACAGTGGAAAGTTAAAAAATGGCAAAATTTGAACTACAAAAATACTCCCCGCAAATATAATTTTAATTAAGAACGTAATAATTTCAAATTAGTTATGTGAGTTCTAGTAAATATTTTGTAACTAGTTATCAGGCCTTTACTCTTCAGGCTCTTTAACTATAGTAATTAAAGATTTGTTTGTTTTTGTGAGGTATAAGCATAGACCGTGTAGCTATGCTTTACTCTTTTTAGTTCTAACACTATAATGTATATCCCGACTAACTACATACAATACACTAAGTACATACAATAAGTTCTTACGCCCCACGATAAATAAAGCTTTCGGTATTATTCGCTAAAGCAATGTGCCGATAAATTTGAATTATATATACATTTAATTGTTTATCAAATATGGAACTATATGAAATAATCTAATTTTAATTAAATACATCACTTGTTGCGTACAAGACTTGTAATTTAGAAGATTTAAACTACCCCAGAAACTTTATTCATTTAAGTGCGGCAAGAGGATAAGATTTGAACTGGAAATTTGCTTTGTTTGATAACTGAACAAGTCTAAGTTATCAAAACCGTATTAATATGATTTATTTACTTTATTCAATTTGCGGTTCTGTTATATTTAATATGAAGTTTGAAACATAGTTATAAAATTTTAGCTAATGTATCCATATAATGAGGCAGTGGTAGCCCAGTGGTAACGCGCTCGCTTGGGAAACCGAATAAAGCGGGTTCAAATCCCGGGTCATACACACGTTTTTTTTAATATCTCACCTATCCTAATTATTTAAAACAAATTGAATTTCATAAAGAGTACCGATAACCTATAGAAGTTTTACTTCTTGCGCGTGTACGTATTCATACACCCACTCTTTATTTTTTTTAATACTTTCTTATAATATTTTATTTTCTAATAACATATTTATTTAAAATATACGTTTTTATCTGACATATTTTTTAAATTAATTACTTACAGTAGAAATTGCTTTATTAATTCTACAAATTTAAGTTTACCTTTTTTCACCGTAAAAAAGCGAATTTGAGTTTCAACTTTTCAACGGAGATTTAAGTATTTGTCTCACACATAATACTCCAATCAGATCCACAAATAAATACTTATTATTTATTCGTAGAATCAGACTATAATTTTATACATAAAATATATACATACATAACATTTATTAAATAATTAATTTATACATCAGTACACATAAAAAAGATATATACCTGCCATATTTTTATTCCACAGGTTACGTTCATATATAAAATGTGGACAAAAATTGTCGCTAGATTCCGCTTCCGAATGATGGTACTGATTTTTGCGTCAAAACAGTCAAAAGAGAAAATGCGTTGGTATTTTTTACTTTTGACTTTTGATTTAAATCGGCATATTTTTTCAGGTGCAGTTCTGTCAAAAATTACTTAGTATTCATTAAATTTAAAACATCAAATACACAAAATCGCTTAATAGTAATTATTCACCCTAAGGTATGTTTATTTTTTATATGAAAGTATGAAAGTCGATTCTCAATTGCTAAAAATATAGCGTATTATGGCTTCGTTTGAGTCGGTCAATAATTGAAAGTCGACAGGAATGTTAGAATTTTAAATTTTTTTTTAGAAATACATATTGATGTATTGATCTACATAGAGTGAAAGCTCTTTCTATCTACTCATACAAATAAATAAAATGTTTGTTTGTAATGTCAAAATAATATAAGAAAAAAAATTTTTTTTTAAAATGTTTGTTTGTCTGCCTCTTTGTTAAGGATAATCTCAGAAACCTAGCTTAGCTAATCTTAGAGTCCCGCGCAAAAAACTGAAACCCATGAAATTGTGAACGAAATCCGCGTACCTAGTCCCTAGGTCCCTATTCAATCAATCAGCCTATCGCCGTCCACTGCTGAACAAAAGGTCCCTAAGACCCATCCGATTGCTAATAATAAATATAGAATTTAATATATTAAGTATGTAGCTACTGTTTGGAACTTAACTCATTAATCTTATGAATGTTTTGTTCATTATAATAATTTTCCAGTTAAATCAGAAATGATCCCAAAATTACCTTGTTTGATGACCACATTGCGGTAATGTGATGACGTCGCTGTTCAATTAGTTCACAATACATAACAAACATCAATATGCCTCAAAGTAATATGTAGTTGTGCTTAGTATGTAATGTACCTTTTATGAATAAGAAATGTCCAATAATATCCTTTCTAATGTATGAAAAAATTAAGAAATTTGACGAGTCTCTCATGAGATTAATTCAAAATAAATAAAAAGATTTAAAGCTCAGTAAAAGTAGTGGAGTATTCTAGATTTGTCTATAAATATTTTGTTTGCTAATTTTTATCTACAATTATATTAGACATAAAAAAACCTTAATTAACTTCATACTTGCGGTTTATACGAGACTATATATTAAATATCTAATGATCTATATATTAGAATCAATATATAAAAAATGGGAGTTCACCTCGACCCTGCCAGGATTCGAACCTGGAATCTTCTGATCCGTAGTCAGA